GATAACTGGTACTCTCCAGTAGTAGGTCTGGTACTGGGTTTAGGACTAAGGTATGAACTGAGTTTATGTCAGATTTAGGGAAGGAGCAGGAGGAGGTCCTACAGCTTGGTTCTGGATCAGGTGGGCCACATTGTTTCTACATCACCATCATACTTCATTCAAGTTCAGCTAATGTTTATTTTTCATCCAGTAGATGTTTTGATGCTTGATAAATAACTTTGGTCCTCAGACAGAAAAAGACGGGTTGTGTTGATGGTTTTACATGTTGAGAGAAGAAAACTGATGACAGATTACAGTGTTTGTGACGTGTCGACACACGTCATCAATGAATCGAATGGAAGGAATTTTAATTTAATAAACCATTTTTCAACAATTAATCACTGGTTGTTTGATTACATTGTTACTTTGGAATGATCAAAGTGGTGCAGACCTCCTCAGACCTCCTCAGAAGGGTCTCAGTGTGTGCAGACACCTTTCATCCATGTGTTTGATGAAATCTGGTCTCTGAACAGACTTCAGTGACACACCTGAAGAACTCACCTGCAGCTCCTCATGTTTCCACTGCAGGACACTCTCAGCCTGAGACAGAACCGACAGCAAGGAGGACAGGTCCAGGCTGAGGACACTGTCGGAGGAGACGGTCTGACTGCTGCCAGTGGTGGTCAGGACCCTGGACTGGAGACAAACCAGTGACTGAGGAGCTGTAATCTGCTGTGGATTAAAGGAGAGCAGCTGTTTGTGGAGGAGAACCTCACCAGTCTGACCACAGCCTGAGACACAGACTGCAGCCTCCTCTCACACTCCTTTAACTGCTTCACCTCCTCTTCTGTGTCCACAGTCTGCAAGGAACCGGTCAGCTCCTCCATCCTAACAGAAAGGAGGTGAATATCTGAACCTCCTGCAGTTTGGACCATCATGATGAGTACTTACCTCTGCTGCAGACCCAACACCTCAGTCTCATGGAGGAGCTCCAGCTGTGTCCCCTCTCGCTCCTCGTCTTCTCCTTGCTGCTCCTCCCTCAGCTCCTCCATGGAGAAGGTTCCCTGGGTCGAGGAGGAGAGAAGCTGAGGTGGAGAGGAGTTTGGAGGAGGGAAAACCAGCGTGGAGGAGAGAGGAGGAGAGGAGGCGTTGTTGTGTGGAGCTTTGAGCCTCAGGGAGGAGCAGCTGGAGAGGAGCTCAAAGGAGAGTCTGGAGAACTGAGCTCTGAGGTTCCAGAGATCCCTGCAAGAACACCTCCATGAGTCTGATCCAAACCTCCCACCTGAGCTCACCTGAGCTCACCTGAACTCACCTGTCAGTCTGCAGGTAAAACTCACCTGTCAGCACCTGTTTTCACTGTGTGACAGAGTCTCTTCAGATCCACCACAGACCTCCACACTGACAGTAACTGGGCCTGCTGCTGGGCCACCTGATCCCAGCGACACTAACCAAACAAACAAACAAACAAACAAACAAACAAACAAACAAACAAACAAACAAACAAACAAACGTCAGTTTTCAGCTGCTTCGTGGAGTTTAACGGTTCAATAAATGAAAGTGCACCTCCTTCTCTCTCTGACACTCAGCCTCAGTGTGTTCTGCCTCCTCCACGGCTCTCGTCCAATCAGCTGTGAGCTTCTGCAGGTCTTCTCTGAGGGTCTGATTGCTGTGCTCTGATTGGCTGAGCTGCTCACAGAGGAGAGCGTTGGTTTCAGCCAGACTGACGGACCTGAGAGACGAACACACGTTAGGATGAACTTTGACCCTACAACACACACACACACACACACACACACACACACACACACACACACACACACACACACACACACACACCTTTGCTGCTCCTCCTCCAGCCTGATGAGAGCACTCTCGAGAGAGTTGTGGTGTTCATCTCTGACCCTCAGCTGGAAAACAAACAACAGCTTCATGTTTAATGATGTGGTTCTAAGAAGGTTCTGCTGTGGTTCTAAGAAGGTTCTGCTGTGGTTCTGACCTCAGTGTTGAGCAGTTTTGTGTGTTGTTCTTGCAGCTGAAGATCCAAACGCTGACATCGATCTCTGTACTCGATCAACTGAAGGAAAACAAAATATTAATTCTCCAACAGTTTAGAACNAGTTTTACCATCAGTCTATGGATTTCCATCTGCTGTAGAGCTTCTCTCTCAGTCAGCTGTACGTTCTCCAGTAGCTCCGCCTCCAACCTGAAACAAACAGAACTTGTCAGGAGACAACAGAACCTGTCAGTAGAAAGCTTCAGCAGAACCATACCGTCTGTGGGTTTCTGTCTCCAGCTGTTGGTTCCTCTCCTCTAGTCTGTCTCTGTCCCTCCTCAGTCTGTAGTTCTCTCTCTGCACCTCCTCCCCTCTCCTCTGCACCTCCTCCAGCTGCAGGCTCAGAGACTTGGACGCCTCCTTCTCCCTGTCACACAGACACACCTCTGGAGTCAGACTATGTTCTGTTCTTCCTCTGAAAGATGCTGCCTGCTGTTGTTCCACAGGTTCTCCTGGTTCCACCTTCCTCCTCTGTGGAACCTCTGCACTCAGAGTTCCACACATCTCTGTAAGGAGTCCAGTCAGGATCAGGAGGTGTTCTACATTTAAAAAAACATCAGTGTTTAATTATCTGGTCATACTGAGTCGTACCGAGTTTAACTGAGTCAAACTGAGTCAAACTGAGTTATACTGAGTTATACTGAGTCATACCGAGTTATACTGAGTCAAACTGAGTCGTACCGAGTCATACTGAGTCGTACCTAGTTTAACAGTCAAACTGAGTCAAACCGAGTTATACTGAGTCATACTGAGTCGTACCGAGTCGTACCGAGTCGTACCGAGTCGTACTGAGTCGTACTGAGTTTAACTGAGTCATACTGAGTTATACTGAGTCGTACTGAGTTATACTGAGTCGTACTGAGTCAAACTGAGTCGTACTGAGTCATACTGAGTCGTACTGAGTCATACTGAGTTATACTGAGTCATACTGAGTCATACTGAGTTATACTGAGTCATACTGAGTCATACTGGGTTATACTGAGTCGTACCGAGTTATACTGAGTTATACTGAGTCATACTGAGTTATACTGAGTTTAACTGAGTCATACTGAGTCATACTGAGTCATACTGAGTTATACTGAGTCATACTGAGTTTAACTGAGTTATACTGAGTTTAACTAGGCCTGTCGCGATAGTCAATAAATCAATTAATCGCACGATAACTTTTTTTGAGGTCGGTAAAAAAAAAGACG